GGGAAATAATATTCCTTTGTACAGATATGCCATGATTTTATTTATATACTAGAGGCCCGATGCACAAAGATTTGTGCAAGAACGGGCTTCTTTCCCCTGGCTGCTGGCACTGCCTTTGTTCTGGCTGGAGGAGTCTTTTCACTCAGGCCCAGAGCCACCGTTCTGCCTTCCCATGCTGACCACAAGCCCAGAGCAACTGGGGTGGTGCGGAACACAGCATCCCTCCCCTGACCGCTCAGTGCCTGTGTATGCAAATTAACCTGGCATCTTTGGTGGGTTAATTTGCATACTCACTCCTGATTGGCTGGTGAGTGTCACGAATGTACGGTCAATTAACATGTTACTCTTTTATTAAGTAGAAAGGTCAACGTTTCAGTTGTTCCCAGTTTTAGGTTATTTATGAATAATGCTGCTATAAATATTCACATGTTAATTCACAACAATCATCCATGTAGGTGAGCAGCATGTAGGCTACCTTTCAGGGTACTTTTGCAGGCCCGGCCAGGCACAGTTCTGCCTTCCTGGGATCTGTATTCCTCAGGACTCTGTGTACCTCCAGAAGTAGGAGGAAAAATGACCAAATTTAAGGTGAGTAAGACATGTCTTTCTCACTTTTAAAATTCTACCTTTTGCCCTAGCCGGTTTGGCTCAGTAGACAGAGCATCAGCCTGTGGACCAAAGGGTCCTGGGATCGATTCCAGTCAAGGGCATGTACCTGGGTTGCAAGCTCCTCCCCAGCCTGGGCCCTGGTCGGGGTACATGCAGGAGGCAACCAATGGATGTGTTTCTCTGTTTCTCTCACATCGATATTTCTGTCTTTCCCTCTCTCTTCCACTCTCTCTAAAAATCAGTGGGAAAACATCCTCAGGGGAAGACTGAAATAAATTTAAAAATAAAATAAAATTCCACCTCATTACCAATTTGTCACGTTTTTCTCGGGACAGCTCAAGAAGAAGAACGGGTATTTGAGGACATTTTGTGCTCTAGGGTTTTGAGTTTACTTTGCATTTGTTTTCAGTTTTTGTTTTATTATTTATTTTGCAGCACAAAAAAATTACTAAAAATAAACAGTTCTCCCACTTTACTGTTTCCCTGCTAACAGATCCACTGTTTTCATTTTCTAATATAATTTTCCTCATGTGTAATCATAGCTGTGTTTATATTCATGATGTATATGTAATTTTAAGTTGGGGTTTTCTTCCCACTAGTGTTAAATAATGTTTCTTTTTTAGGGTTATTTCACATTCCCCTTGAATTGACATACCTTTTAATTTTTTGTTTTTACCTATCCCACCTTCCCATGATAGCTGAAAGCTATTTCTTTTTTCTTTTTTCGTGTTATCTATTTTTTAAATCTTTATTGTTGAGATTATTACAGATGTCCCCCCCCATTACTCCCTCCCACCCAGTTCCCGCCCCACCCCAGGCCTTTGCCACCTTATTGTCTGTGTCCATAGGTAATGCACTTATGGATATAAGATCTTTGTTTAATCTCTTCCCACCCGCCTACCCCCGTTCCCTCTGAGAATTGTTAGTCTGTTCCATTTTCATGCCTCTGATTCTGTTTTATTCACCAGTTTATTCTATTCATTAGATTTCTTATTCATTTATTTTTATTCTTAGATTCAGTTATTGATAGATATGTATTTGTTGCCATTTTGTTGTTCATATATTTTTTCTTCTTCAATTCTTTTTAAAAAATATTTTTATTTATTTTAGAGAGGAAGGGAGAGGGAGAGAGAGAGAGATAGAAACATCAATGATGAGAGAGAATCATTGATCGGCTGCCACCAAACGACACTCAACCAACTTAGGCACACTAGCCCGGGCAAGTTGGCTGTTTTCTAGGTAGAATATCCAAATATAACCATCGCATAGCAAACCCTCACTGCTGCTTCACACAAACATTATCAGAGGTTTTCACACAGGAAGAGCATCTTCCCCATGCTTCAGTCAGGCCTGTGTGTGTTTTATCGGTCTAGTAATAATTAATGTCGTTTTTAAACATTCGTTTAAAATCTTGCTTGGCGTTGACTTGTATTGACATAACCTTCAAACACGTGGTATCTACAGAATGTGTGAAGTGCAATTAACAAGTTTTGCTTGAAAAAGTTTGTGTTTGGTTTGGTTTTTGTTGCAAAACTAGGGCTAAGAAGATGGCGGATGAAGAGCATATTCGGCACTGCATGCTTTACGAGTTCCAATTAGGAAGAAAAGCAAGTGAGGCTGCAAAAAACATCTGTAGTGCTCTTGGTAAAGATGCAGTTAGCGCCAGAAAATGCCAGCGTTGGTTTGAGAAATTTTGCGAGGGAAATTTTTCGTTAGATGACAAGAGTGGTCGAGGCCATGTGTCCAATTTTGATCAAGAAGCTCTTCAAGCTCTTTTAGTGCAAAATCCTCAAATTACCCAACAAGAGCTTGCAACAACTTTAAATTGTTCACAAAAAACAATTTCCAATCAATTGCGTGCACTTGGCAAAGTCCAAAAGTTTGGAAAATGGGTTCCTCATGAGTTGACCGACAACAACCGTAATCAAAGAGTCACAATTTGCAGTTCGCTCCTCTCTCGTCAAAACCGTTTGCCGTTTTTAGAGCAAATTGTTACCGGAGATGAAGAATGGGTGCTGTATGTTAATTTGAAAAGGCGACCTCAATGGTTGGACAAAAATGAGGCTCCGCAGCCCACGCCAAAACCTGACTTGCATGCGAAAAAAGTGATATTGTGTGTTTGGTGGAATTTTAAAGGAATTCTTCATTATGAACTTTTACCATCTACCCAAACCATTACAAGTGCAGTGTATAGTGCCCAATTGGAAAGGTTAGCCCAAGCTTTAAGAGAAAAAGAACCCGCGCTGATTAATTGGAAGGGCGTAATTCTTCACCACGATAACGCACGACCGCATACTGCAAGAATCACTGCTGAAAAACTGCGCCAGTTGGAATGGGAAGTTCTCCCTCAACCTGCATATTCTCCTGATATTGCCCCTTCTGATTACCATTTGTTTTGTTCTTTGCAAAACTTTCTTCTTGGAAAAAAATTTAATAATGAAGAATGCCTCAAAAATGCATTGACCGAATTTTTTGCATCAAAATCACAAGAATTTTACAACAGAGGGATTAAAATGCTTCCTGAGCGTTGGGCACAAGTAGTAGAAAACAACGGCAACTATATTGTTGATTAAATTTTGTTGTATTGTTTAAATAAATTCGATTTAAAAAAGTATTAGAAAACGACATTAATTATTACTAGACCTAATATTTAGTGGTCTTTTTTCTCTCTCGTGTAATAACTAGTTTGACTAAAGTAATAAGGAACATTAGCTTAAAATGTCCAGAGATGGCCCTGGCTGGGTACCTCAGTTGGTTATATTATCGTCCCCATACACCAAGGTTTTGGGTTCGATTCCAGGTCAGGGCATATATGAGAGACAACCAGTGAATGCATAAATAAATGGAACAACAAGTCAGTGTTTCTCTCTCTCTCTCTCTCTCTCTCTCTCTCTCTCTCTCTCTCTCTCTCTCTCTCTGTCTCTCTCTCTCTCTAAAAATCAATACTTTTTTAAAAAGTAGTTTTGAGAGAGATTATGTGCCTTGAGGTAACACACACTATTTTGCTTTAAAAAAGTTATAGCATCCAGGATTCATGTGTGAGAAAGGAAGAAGGCAGGTGCATTATGTTTGGACTAAGTTACTAAACACTTCTGGGGACAACTGGCAATATTCACCTACAAGTAAAATTACATGTAGTCTGGGATGCATATTTGTGGGAAGCCGTGTTGCGTGGGGCCCGAGGGCAAGGATGGAGCATAGGGTAGGGACGCCTACCTGCTCTCCCCTAAGCCTTCAGGGTCAACCAAGGACAGGGCAGACCATAGCCCCATTGTTAGAGAGTGCGCGTGATGCACGACTTATCTGGATGTTCTCAGCTAGGCTGTTCTCAATGATATCTAGCCAGATGCTTGCTCTATGTATCTTTTCCAAGAATGTCTTGAGGAGCTGTTGGCGGCCTTGTCCTGGGAAAGGGGCACTTGGAGAAATGCCCAGAAAAGCCTCATAAATGTACGCTTGCAACTAATAAAGCTGCTGCAGTCTCATCATGGACTAGCAGTCCTCCTGAAGCCCCACTTTCTCTTGTCTTTATTTCTCTTAAAACCTCCTAGCCCTACCTCCAGGACCTGTGATGCCGGCTGGATCCGGTACATATTTAGATTCTTTTTAAAAAATATGTTTTATTGATCTGAGAGAGAGAGAGAGAGAGAGAGAGAGAGAGAGAGAGAGAGAGAAACATCAATGATGAGAATCATTGATTAGCTGCCTCCTGCACACCACCTACTTTCAATCAAGCCTGCAACCAGGACATGTACACTTGGCTGGAATTGAACCTGGGACCCGTTAGTCCACAGGCCGACACTCTATCCACTGAGCCAAACCAGCCAGGGCCATATTTAGGGTTCTTGGAGGTTACTTTTAAATAGACCCAATGAGAACACAAAATAAAAATATGAGGACTGTGCCGAAACCGGTTTGGCTCAGTGGATAGAGCATCGGCCTGCGGACTGAAAGGTCCCAGGTTCGATTCCGGTCAAGGGCATGTACCTTGGTTGCAGGCATATCCCCAGTAGGGGGTGTGCAAGAGGCAGCTGATTGATGATTCTCTCTCATTGATGTTTCTAACTCTCTCTCTCTCTCTCTGTAAAAAATCAATAAAATATATATATTTTTTTAAAAATAAGAGGACTGTGTTCACTGCTGTACTTCTGCTGAGGCTGAGGAGAATCAGTGTGTGGAGTTGGAGGAGAAGGGCTGGGAGGTCTACACATTGACTTGAGTTGCTCAAAATCTGAGACCATTTCCTGCCCATCCTACTTTCCCAGTGCTATCTTTTGTCAGGAGGCCGCTGGCTGAGGTTTGGTTGTGTAGGAGATCCACAGTGCCTTGAATGCCCGAGGACACAAGCCAATTCTGGGAGCTGACACTGAGCACCGAGGGTCTGTCCTCACCCACGGAGACCAGGTTCCGGAAGTTCTCCAGCATCACGTCCCGGTACAGCTTCCTCTGGGCAGCGTCCAGCAGCCCCAGCTCCTCCTCCGTGAAGACCACAGCCACATCCTGGAAGGTCACCGCCTCCTACACAGCCAAACCTCAATTAGCAGCCTCTTAACACTGAACACATTTCACAGAGCACATAACCATGCCTAGAGCATAGTACCGTGTTTCCCTGAAAATAAGACACCCTCCGAAAAGAAGACCTACTTACAGGTTTCCTTCTGAGTGAAATATAAGGCTTCCCCCCCAAAATAAGCCCCCCCCCCCCCCGCTAGGCTAAACATGAGAGATTTGGTCCCCTGATTCTGAAAGAAATGGACTCACAAGAAATTCACCATGAAATTCAGGAATTGGATTATGATGATGTTCCAGAAGATGATGACATGATTGTCATTGAATAAATGAGTAAATGCTTGATACTGTAGGATTCACAGTTTGTCTGGTTTGTGTTGACAACTACCGTACTACCGTACTGTATACAGGTAATAAATTTCCTTTATTTTCATTTAACAATAAATGTGTACAGTATTCTTCTTCATGGAAAAATAAGACATCCCCTGAAAATAAGACCTAGCGCATCTTTGGGAGCAAAAATTAATATAAGAAACTGTCTTATTTTCGGGGAAACGGTAAGTATGCAGCAAATATATGTTCAATGAATAATGAATCCCACCAAAAAACCAAAGGTGCCAAAATTCATTGGACTGAAAAGAAAGCAGAAGAACCTATCCCTGGTTCCCTCTGAAGCTTTTGGGTTGTCTCTTTCAAAACAGAGTTTGGGAAAACGTTAGTTGTAAATAAAAAAGTCCATTACAACAGAAGGTGAATGTACCTTAGTTGCGGGCACATAACCAGTGGTGGTGGTGGGGACTGTGTAGAAGGCAGCTGATCTATGTTTCTCTCTATCCCACTCCCTTCCTCTCTGTAAAAAACCACTAAAATATATTTTAAAAAGAAGTATTATAATTTTTTTTTATTTTAAACCAAAATATTTAAAAACTTTCATAAAATTATATAGAAGCAAAAAAGTCATTTCTCTCTCTCAAAGTGTTGGAAGATAGTTACATCAGAAGCTATAGTGACAGACTTATATTTAGAAGCTCTTCAATTGTAGTATAAAAATATTTTAAGATGTTTATAAACAAATGTACAACTTAAGGCATAAAATTGGACTTTGAAACTTGGGGGGAAATCAACTACATACACCGCCAGTCTGTGTGCCCCTTCCCTGAGTCCAAAAATATTACATTATAAGGATTTTAAATGAAAACCAGAACAAAATAAATTCAGGATTATAGAATAGTATGTTAGCTAATATTTTCTAGCAATACCTAACAGGAAACACTATTTTTAAAAAATATATATATTTTTATTGATTTTGTTTTTACAGAGAGGAAAGGAGAGGGATAGAGAGAAACATCGATCAGCTGCCTCTTGCACACCTGCTACTGGGGATGTACCCGCAACCAAGGTACATGCCCATGACCGGAATCGAACCTGGGACCTTTCAGTCCGCAGGCCAATGCTCTATCTACTGAGCCAAACCAGTGAGGGCAACAGGCAACCATATGAAATTATGAAATTATATGGAAGTTCATTAGTTTATTCTTTCTTGGCAGTGTTTGGAAATTATCAGTTAAAACACACAAGGAAAAAAGCATTAGAAAGGTATGATAAAAATTTTCTCAAATGTCTATACTACAGCCCTAGCCGGTTTTATTCTTCATTCAGGTATGTGCCCTGACCAGGAACTAAACAGTGACATCCTGGATCATAGGTTGACCCTCAACCACTGAGCCACGTTGGCTAGACTGTAAGTACTGAATGGCTGATGTGGTTCAGTTGGTTGGGTGTTGTCTCACGCACCAAAGGTTGCTGATTTGATTCCTAGTCAGGGCACATGACAGGGTTGTGGGCTTGATACCTGGTAAAGGGTGTGCAGGAAGCCACTGATAGATGTACTATTCTCACATCGATGTTTCTCTCTCTCTCTAAAAAAAAAAAAAAAAAAGAAAGAAAAAACATAAATTTAAAAAAAGTACAGTATTCTTTTTAACCTCCACAAAACGTGTATCCTTTATATCTATCGCCAGTATTTGCGGGTTCCCTGGCTTATACCTAAAGATGTGTCACATGCATTAACTTATTTGTGTATTCAAATAACCAGAAAAAATTTTTGAATACTGATGTAGTCCTATTCCTTAATTTTGATCTTATATGGTAATATAAATGTAGCACAATCTTATTAGGAGTCCATAACTGTAAATGATTCATATTAATCATTTTTCAAATTCCGTTATACATAATTTAGCAGTTTGATCAAATTGATGCTCATTGAGAAATTAAAGCACGAGATTACAAATGGAAATACCGCCAAATACTCCTTGCTAAAGAAGACCATTACTACAAGTATCACTTTCCACGTTTTATTTTTATCCACACATATATGAACTTAATTCCACAGTCTGAGTTCACAAAGCTCATATTGTTCTTCTTCTGTTATTACATGTCCTTGCCATCACTCTAATGACTCCAAGTTATTTTGGAAATATATAATTTAAACAAATTTTTACTGACAAACACTTGTTACTTCCATTCTAAAAATTGTGTGGCATTACTGATATGGTATTCATTTTTCATTATTTGAATCTCATCATCTTAAATTCTTAAACTATGACATCTAAATTACATGTTGTTATATTTTCCAAAGATGTGTTTTTACCAAAAAAGAAAAGCATGTAAATGGCATTCCTATGCCAGTAATGAATACATTTGATGAAATTACCAAATCCCAGCAACTTTTTCTGGTATTTATTTCATGGGGATGAGGGAAGAATATAGGAAGCTGAGGTATTAAATGTCCTTCAAATCTGGCATAGCCCCCACGGGAGAAGTTTGACAAAAGAAATATCCTCAGGTGAGGATTAACCCTACTCCCTCCCCCTGCCCACCACCAAAAAAATAAAAGGAAATAAATACATACAATTAAATACTGATGTATTCAATGTATACATCAGTATTCAATGTTTTGTTTTCTTTAAATATATTTTATTGATTTTTTTACAGGGAGGAAGGGAGAGAGAGAGCGAGCTAGAAACATCAATGAGAGAGGAACGACCAGCTGCCTCTTGCACTACCCCTACTGGGGATGTGTCCGCAACCAATGTACATGCCCTTAACCAGAATCGAACCTGGGACCTTTCAGTCCTCAGGCCGAAGCTCTATTCACTGAGCCAAACCGGTTTTGGCAAGTGCTCATCAATGTTAAGGTTGTGCAGGTTCAGCAGCAAACACGCTCCCTGCCCTCATGCCCTCACTGCGCTTGTGTAGTCTCAGAACCATTGGGATATGTTGAGCCGTGGCTGAAACATTCCCTTTATGAAACAAAGGTTTTCCTTCTTCTGAGAATGGATGAAGTTTATCACCGGCATGGCTTCTGGAATGAATTCTAAAGTATGACCTTGACTTGAAGCGCTTACCGCATACCTCACACTTGTAAGGCTTCACTTTTGTGTGAACTTTCTGATGAGACTGTAGATGTGAAAGCTGAGTGAAAAGTTTACCGCACTCATCACATTTGAATGGTTTCTCTCCGGTGTGGAGTCTCAGATGAAGTTTAAGGTGTGAGGCCCTGCTCAAGTGCTTTCCACACACCCAGCATGTATAAGGTCTCTCTCCGGTGTGGACGCTCCGATGCACTTCAAGATCCAAGCTTGTCTGGTAGCTCTTCCCACACTCCTCACATTTGAATGGCTTTTCCCTTGTGTGGACTTTCAGGTGAGCTTGTAGGTATGCCTTCCGACCGAATCTCTTCCCACACACTTCACATCGGAATGGTTTTTCTCCACTGTGGACTCGCTGATGGGCCAGAAGATGTGAGGCCCATCGGTAGCTCTTCCCACACTCCTCACAATTATAGGGTTTCTCTTCTGTGTGGATCCTCTGATGGTAATAAAGATCTGCCTTAGAGTAGAAGCCCTTTCCACACTTGTCACACTTGTACGATTTCTGTCCCGTGTGAACGTTCTTGTGGGTATGAAGATGTGAGCACCAACTGAAGCACTTCCCACACTCGTCACATTTGTACGGCTTCTCTCCCGTGTGGACCACACAATGGCTGTTGAGTGCTGACCTCTGACGGAAGTTCTTCCCACATATGTCACATTTGAACGGTTTCTCCCCAGTGTGGACTCTCTGGTGGTTGTAAAGATGGTAAGCATGAAGGAAGGTCCTCCCACATTCCTCACACTTATAAGGTTTCTCTCCCGAGTGTAGTTTGCAGTGGTCACTAAGTGTTGCCTTGCGACTGAAGCCTTTCCCACACTGTTCACATTTAAATGGCTTTTCTACAGTGTGGACTCGCTGATGGGTTTGCAGACGTGAGCTCTGACTGAATTCCTTACCACACTTATCACACTTATAGCATTTCTCTCCCAAGTGAACTCTCTGATGGATGCGGAATGCTGAGCTGTAAAAGAAGCTTTTCCCACACTCCCCACATGTATGAGACTTCTCTCCTGCATGTATTTGTTGAGGAAGGTCAGAGTTGAAAACATCACAAAAGAATCTGTTACATTCGTTTCCCCAGTGAGGTGTCTGGCCTGTGTGAGTTATAGGCAGTCCTGCCCCAGCCTGGCTGGTTGAATCTTTATGGTTAGGGAACTGAGAACTCTTGATCATGGAGTCTTGACTCCTGATTAGGTCACTTGCAATTTGTTGCCATATTTGCCAGCAGGAAAATTCTTCATGTTGTTCTGGATCTGGAACGGTGTCCACCTCAGATTGGATCTTGCCTCCTATAAGAGAGAATTTAAAGATGTGGATAAATGAAGACTTTGTACAGGGTCTTCAAGATTTCACACATAAGGTGGAGCATAAGATTTCAATAAATCCAGAGTATTCACTATGTCCTTTGGATATGTGTCATGGTATCTGGTTTACAGAAACTAAGTAGTGGTCCGGCAGGTTCTTCTCCACCAAGCATCAATGAAACAAACTTAGAACCACACCAAGTTTCCTATGTATATAGGTATAACTTAAAATCAAAGATTTCATAACAAATATAGTAATATGATACATGT